GTCCCCTCGGCCTGGACCACCTTCGTGGAAAGTGGGGCTGGGGTTCCCCTTGCACCGACAGATGAGGAGGAGCTGCACCCTGGTTTTCATGTTGTATCGGGGAGCTGTGGGTGCCCAAGTCAGGGGCTGGGCAGCATGGGAGGGGATTTGAACCCTGGCCCTGCAGCCCACAGGGGTGAGTCCCTCACACACATGTCCCCCACTTCATACCTGTTAACTCTGCTCCCTGGCACTGTTACAGCATGGAAAACCAGAGAATTTCCTGAGGCCATGGGGTCCTTTGTACCAGGACAGACCTACCAGGTGGCTGCAGGGTCAGGGCCATCCCCAGCGAACACGGTAAGAGTGCCAGTCAGTGATGCTACCCCGGTGATACTCATGGGGTGAGGACCACCGTCGGTCCCTGCATCTGTCCCCATGGGGCCTGTGTCTGTCCCCCCCATGGACACATCACATGGGGTCTTACTCTGGGAGCCATGTGCTTTGAGGACAGAAGGGGATCAGGAACGAGCACTGTTAAGGCCACCACGACACCCCGGGCAGTGGACCTCTGGGCAGAGGTGTGTTGTCTCTCAGAATGAGGAGACACAGACCCTCGATGCCCCCACCCATGGGGGACCTGAGGGCCCAATACGAGGGGGCCACCGAGCACAGCAGAAGAAACAAGCAAGGACGAGGAGATGGAAAAAGAGCATCCTGGCCTCAACACCAGGAACTGTCCCGCCAGACTCTGAAAGGAGTCTCCTCCAAGCAGCAGCAAAAACGCCCCAAACACCACGCTGATGAGGAGGTGAACACCCAGGATCGGGGCGGCTCTGCAAGACCGCCATGGCTGCGTGCACAGGGCACGAGACATGGTGGCCAGGCCTGGCCCCCAAGTGGACCAGGTGGCACTGCTGTCTGCAGCTGGACAGCACCAGACAGGCCTGCCTGCCCTGCAGTGTCCTTTGTGCAGCCGCCCAGAAGACCCAGGTAGAGAATGGAATAGGGCAACCGGACGCCTTGAGAAGAGCGGAGCACAGCTGCACCACGAAAGCAGGAGCAAAAGGAAGAGGAATCTCATGATCTCAGCCCATGGCCTTGAGGGCAGCTATCGTGTGGAGCAGTCGCCACCAGGAAATTCTCTCTTGCAGTTGTGAGCTCCAGATTGCTTTTGGTCGACTCCCTGCATCGGTGCTGCACAAACCCAGATTGCTAAAGACGGTGCCCGCTTGGCCACCCACAGACCACACGGTCAGGCAAGCCCCTCCTATGACCCTGTTGTGACAGAACTGGAACTGGCCTGGCGTTTATTTAAGCAGCATAGTTTTGATGGAATGAAAATATTTGAGTTAGTGGCACAACACATTTGAGCAGAAGGTGCAGAGTTCTCCCTGCTCCAGGGACTTCTAGCTCACTCTGAGATCCCTGCTTTGGAAAGAAAGAGGGGGTGATGTCAGGTTTCAGTTCTGCACAATAGCACCTTTAACAAACCTGCCAGCCAGCACACACGAAATAGGCTACAATAAAATCTTACTACTGATAGTTAATATTCATGGGACTCAAGGGGACAAGAACCTACAAGGACTCCGTATTTATAAATGCTACTGTTGTCACCAAGCACATGTCAGATTCCTGAGAGATGCTGAGAGCGTTCCTTATAATGGGAGTGAGGATACAGTTTTAAATAGGGAAAGAGGTCATTAGGAAAAAAACTAAACACATATAAATGAGCACTTGGTGGTCTTGAATTTGAATACCACTTGACTGTGATTGAGAAACCTGACCAGCCTGGGTTATTTCATTTTTGTTTACCAGTTTCTTCAACACAGAGAAATGCATTCAAAATTTACAACCCCGATGACCAAGACAGTGTTTGCCTTTTGATTTGAAAATCTGCCACTTTCTATTTACAGATGCCAAAGAAGGCTGAGCTTCAAACTTAGGATATCAAAACAACTGAGTTTGTGTTTGCAACTCTGATGGTGTAACCATAACTCCAACTGCTGGAGAAACAATAACATCACTATAGTGAACTCAACCCTAAATTAAAAGCCGATATTTCCATTACCCACCCTAACAGTATTTTCTGGAGTTTATATAATTTGATCATTAAAAAATGCTCGAGGCTGAAAACCTAGTCTGTGTCAATTTTGGACACTAAGCCAGCCTGCCAAGCTCTGAAGTTTGTTTGTCCTTCTCGTTTGCCCTTTTCCAAGAATGTATTAATATTAATGCTACACATGCAACTGAACCCAAAATAATGTGCAACACCTGGGGAGCTGATGCTGTAGCATGTGCAGCTAGAGTTTTCAGAAGAAATTTACAATGTCTAGAAACTTAACTTCAAGTAACGAAAGAACTCAACTTTCTTTTCATCCATCTTTAAACACATCCTCTTGTCTACTGATTACTCCATCAAAAATACTGGAACTTCCATTTGGAACTTTGATTTTGCTAGAAAGAGACTTTGAGTTGGAATCCAACTTTGTAGAAACCAAGTTTACTACTGTAACTTCCTTTCAAAGGCCTCTCTGTGGAGCAGAGGAGGGATTTCCTATGGGGACAGCAAGTCGAGGGTGGGGGAAGACATCCCCGTAGGTTGTGACTAGCTCAAGGGACAGTGCAGGAAGAAATGAGTGTAGCCCACACTTGTGCACAAACACAAAGACCTCTGGCAGAGACACAGGCAAACCCCACTATCAAGAAGCCCAGATATCTAGGAAGAAAGCTTAGGAAAGGCAGATCTGACTCCACAAGACGGGGTTGGCCAAGGACGCCCGAGAAGTGGGATGTCAGGAGGCCAGCCCTGTCTACACCCAGGTGGCCTCCTCCTTGCACCCCTGGGAGACACAGAGCTCTCCAGGGCACTGATCCCACCTGCAGTGCTGCTCGGGTGTCCTGAATCCCTGGCTGGGAAGGAGGGGCTGAGGCAAGACCAGATGGGTGTGTGTGTGTGTGTGTGTGTGTGTGTGTGTGTGAGTGTAACTGTCTGTCTACACCTTATAAAAGAGAACAAAAGTACACTGCAGAGGAAAGAATGTTGTCTTAGCATTTCATACTGCATTCTTATTTTGATCACTATAGAGTTGTGGAAAAATCATCACTGTGGATAAAAATAGAAATGCCCAGACTCTGTGAGCCAGAAGCCATCACGAAGTTCATTGTCCAGGCACTCCACACTGCTCGGCAACCTGGTATTATTTGCAGAAGGAGGCAAGATAATGTACTTACAAACTCAATTTTTAAAATCTGATAACTTTTAATGTATCTGTGATGAAATACTTCTAGTGATGGAGAACTCATTATTCTTGAAAACGCCTTTTAGGCAGATTCTGCTTATGGTTATAAAATCCGTCCTTATGCTCCAGGACCGCCTGGCTGTGACACGGCCAAAGCATTTCTGCCTGGGAATTACACAGAGCTGTGCTGCTCACCTTTCTACATGGTCCAAAGCAGTGCGAGCCTAGCCAAAGAGAAAGCCTTTTCATCACTATACACAGCTGAAATGCTATTATTTAAACATTGTGTTTGTTCAAAACTTTAGTAATGAGATGACATTTGGCTTTATCGAACCACATCTTAACAACAGAATAACATTGCTCCAGGGAAAGGAATGAAGTACTGATGCAGATCACAGCACACAGGACCTCAACACATCACACTACATCAAGTCAGCCAGACACCAAGGCCACATATCTTGGAACTCCACTCCTTTATAATTCCAAAAGGGGCAGAACAGGTAAATCTGACAGAGAAAGAAAGTAGCTTAGTGGTTGCCTAGGGGTGGCTGGGAAGGCGATGGGAAGAACTATTGGTGGACACGGGGTTTAAGGGTGAATACTCTTCTGAAACTTGTGTTTTAGGTGGTTACACTGTCTTCTAAATTAAAAACCATCTAACTGTATACTTTAAATGGATGAATTTTACAGTATGTGAATAATTTATTAATTTTAAGTGTAGCAAGCATGCTTAAATTATGGGTCTTTAATGAAAATCACTTTGGTAGGCACAGTCAGCAAAGGAACTCCAAAGTGAAGAGAGTGACCAAAAGGAACACATGCTTAGTTCTGCACATGCAGCGAGGGACAATAAGCAATTCACAAATATGAATTCTATTGAAGAATCCCCTCACCTCATTTAAGTTAATACCCTTTGATCCATGGAGAGTTCTGAACTCTCTACTTCAGAGGGAAGGGTATGTTTACTTCACATTTCTTGTCTTGGGGCTCAGGAGAGTTCAGGAAATTTCAAACCCACAAATGAGTTCTTCAAGGAAAAACTGACAAGTTACAACTGTTATTGCAGCCTAGTTCACATATCCCAGGGTTTCTTTATGTTTAACTTAAAACATATGGGTAGTATTCCATGTGCTTGAAATGTTTCTGTACTTGGAGTGACAATCACATGTCCTACAAAAACAGAAGCATGGTTTATTTTGGAAAGATAACATCTAGACAAAACATCGGTATATGGACTTTCTCAGATCATAAATTAAACACATAATGCTCATAAGACATATTACTTCTCTATGAATACCAGGAAATAACCCCCAGTTTGAAAAATAATCTGTGTTGTGACATTTTCCCATAAAGACATGAGAAATCTCACATTACAGTTTGTAATAGGGTTGATGTCATTGTCATACATATAATTCACATAAAGTTATTCTACTTTTGTACTCTTATTTGTCTTGCTAGAAACTATATATATATATCTTTTCTTACTATCTTTAATAAAAGACTCCACTATCTTTCCCAATACCTGTGGCCCCAAAGGCTGTGTGTACATCTTGATTTCAGGTGAACTCTAATGACAATATTCCACATACAGACGAGACCCCTGTATCCAGCCTATGTTGGGTTCACTGTCTGTGACCTCGCTTCTATGGCGAAGCTTCTTATGTAATCATGCTACACTGGATTGCAAATCACCACACATCATTTCTAGGCGCACGCTGACAATGACCCATGGCATTCTCAGACACACATGAGATACAAAGCGCAGCCCCGGACACTCACAGTTGTAGCCAGGCGTGATGCGGTGCTGGGCCTCGAGGCTTGCCAGCGTGATGTGGAAGACGATGTGCAGCAGCAGGAAGGAGAGGCTCAGGAGGCACAGGGACTTGAGCAGCCGACCCGTGTGTCCTGAGGACAGAAAGCAGAGACTTAGAGACCCGGGAGCAAACAGGCACTCTGCACTTCTGCAAGGCCTCTCTCTAAGCAGACTTCTGCGCAGAGGGAGGGTGATAACTTACTTTGAGTGAAAGCTCTAATGCTCCCTAAGCAGCGTTGTACAACTGGCTTTGCATTTATCAAAACTTCACTGTAAAAGAAAGACACATTCCTATTCTTCATACAGCCTGTTACGATGGAAACACAAAAGGCCCTGGCCCAGGAAATTCTATGCGTAAATGCTGCAAACTCTGCAGGAACAGATAAACCCCTGTTATAAAAGGAGTTCTAGGAAGGAGAAAGAAGGAAAGTAGCCTGTAACATTTTACAAAGTTAGGTTGACTTTAATTTCAAAATTAAAGCTACAAAAGAAAACTATGGTATAAGCCAATTTACTTATGAACACAGACCACAATTATTTTAAAAATTTGCTACCCATTTAAGCTAGCATAACACATCATAATCAGCTAGACTTTATTGCAGAAAAGCAAGTGTATTTTCACATTAACAAATATAAAAGTGAAATTCACACACCAGTGTGGTCATATGATGATTTTCTCAATGGATATAAAAGAAAAATTTCCTAAAGTTCAGCATGTGTTTATAATTTCAAAACACACTTAAGAAAACTAGGAGCAGAAGGAAACATCCTTACAGGATTTATATCATACCTAGAACAAGCATCTCGTTTATGTTGGAATTTTACACATAGTCCCACCAATGTCAGAGAATCACAGACATTCAATGTAATCACCATAAATTAACTTATTTCTGGGTGTTCTGGCCAATGCCATAAGATTTTTAAAAACTGAAGTCTGCATATCTAGCTTTATTTGCAGATAATATGATCGAATGGAATTATTTTCAGATGATATCAATATCAATATCAATATAGAAGGCCAAACCGAACAGACAAATTAATACGAGAACAAATGTAAGAATTGGGGAAGTGATTCAGATACAAAATTATCTAACAGAAATCAATATACCAAAAATGAGATACAACTTAATTAGCAATCAAAACTGGATCGGCACGGTGTCACACATCAGTGTGGCTCGGCTCTAGCGCGGTTATTTAATTAGGCACTCCTGTAGGCAAAGAGGCCATTACAGTCCACAGGCAGGGGATCTTGGCCGGGGAGACTGTCCTCCATCGCCTGCACAGGCCTGACTCATTCAGACAAGAGGCCCCAGGTCAGGTGGAGGAGACGGAGAGCTTGAGAACAAGAGGGAGACTTAACTCCTCCACGTGGACAGGAGCTGGAGCCCTGCCTGCAAGCTGGATTCCTTCACCTCCCCGTGCCTGTGCCTCACAGACCCGGATCTCCATAGCCAGTTCTCATGGTCAGTTTGTAAAGCAAGTCCAGGAAAACTAGCTGATGTGCAAGAGAAACATGCACTTCGTAGAGACATGTTTCCTATTGTTCTGCTACTCTGGGTGCACTCTGATTAACAAAAATATTTAAAAGTTAACAGAGCAAGTAAGACTTTCATGGTTAAAGTAGAAAAACAAACAAGAAGATATGAATAAAAGAAGAGATATGCTACATTCATGAATGAGTTGTGATAGAGGTCAATTTCTCCCAAATTTAGTCTACAAATTCAACACAATTTCAAATGAACTACCTGAAGAAACTTCTTTTTTTATTAATTATACTGGTACATTTAAGGTCTACAATATGACATTCATCACTGGAAATTTGCACCTTTACATAATCCATCTGGGTTCTTATTTTTTTCCCCATTCCCCCGCCATCCCTTCAACCTCTCCTTCCCTCCTATTTACAAAGACTTTCTTTCCACTTTTTCTTTTTCTCATATTAATTCCATTCC